TTTTTGGGTTCCCGGTTCTGTCGGTTTCCCCGCGAGCCGCGCACGCGCAGAGCGGGGCTCCGCGCGCGAAGGAAGATGTCTGAGTCTGAAGAGTGGGGAACTCTTCAGTTTTTTGGGGGGGGTGTCGGGAAAAAAACGGCACGAGCTCGCAAACCGGAGCCTGGGACCGTTTCGTTTCTCTCTCCCTTCCGTCCGGTAGTTTCTATTTTTCTTTTTTTTTTGTATTTTTTTCCTTTTTCTTTTGCTATTTCTCGCTTTTTCCTTTTTCTCTCGCTTGTTTATATATTTTTAAATATAAATAAATCTCTCTCAGGTCTGAGGCATCCCTCCTCCTCCTCCGACGGGACCGCGGAGGGCAGAAGATGTGCGCGCGGCGTTTGTGGTGACCCGGTGTGTTTTAGAGGGGCAGGCGCCCGTGACGTCACTTCCTGCCCGGGCAGGGCGGCCTCTGATTGGCCCGCAGGCCCGGGGCACGTTTCGGACTAACGGACCCGGTTCCGGGCTCCGGGATCCGGGCTCTCCGGGGCTTTTTTTTTTTTCCCGGTCCCCACGGAAACCGGTAGGGCTCCAAACTCTGAACACAAATACAAATAAATGTTTTAAAATAAAATAAATAAATAAATAAAACTCACTTCCTGTAAGTCTTCCCCCATTCATGATTTTTTTTCCCCACTATGAAAACAGAGAAAAAAGGCAAAAACCCTTGAAGCTGTGAATTGATTCATGGAAGCATTTCCTCTTTGTTTGATTCATTCATGTTTTTTTTATTTTAAAATTTAAATTTAAACAGCTCAGAATTTCTCACGTGCTGCTTTTTACGCACAAGTGAAACCGAGAGTTTCATCAACTAAAATCCATTTGAAAGGAAATTAGCAATAAAAGCTGTTTGGAAATAACAAAATTAATTCTATAAAGCAAGAAATATTTCTTTAAAATGCCAAATTAGGCTCAAGGTGAATATTAAACCAAATATAGCTAAATAATACATTAATAATTAAGATTTTTCTAGCTGACTTCACTTTTATGTGAGTCTTATTTGAAATTTGAAGAGCTAAAAACATGGATTTAGTTTTATTTATTTGATATCTGGCTGGATTGTGTCTCCAGAAGCCGCTTGAGGGGAAATAAACAAACATCTGTGTGTGTTTCTCACTTCCTCCAGAAACAAACCCAAACCCTGAAACCAACATCAGACTCTGGAAACAACAAATCACACGTATTAAAACTCTCCAAAAAAGAGGAAAGCAACCGGAGGAAAGACAGCTGAGGGTTTCTGTGTGGCTTCAGAAAAAGACGCCTCCAGATAAACTGTTGACACGTAAAAGTTATTTGGAATTGCGGCGATAAAAACACGAATTGAGGCGACTGTTTGCGTTCAGCGGAGGACACAAAACGGCTCATTTACTGTAGATATGCAGAGCGATTCTGGCTGTAACTGCATGGGCTCTGTTTTGCAGCCCGCGGTTTGTTGTGATTGTGAGATAATTCCGGTCTCGGAATCTCCTCCTCACAGGTGAAACGTCTCTGAAAACACGGTGGAAAAAAAGAAAAAGGGAGGCTTTTCTGAGCGGGATTATATAATTATAGTTTTGCCGCGCGTCCTTATGTGTCTGTGTGTTTGTGTGTGTGTTGTTTTATTCTTTATTTTTCTTATCCGAGGCCGTAATTACTGCACACAGCCACGGGTCGTTACTCCTTTCAGCTGGCCTAATCTCACCGAAGATGAATAGAAACTGTCAATCAGAAGCTGCACTCAGCAGCGAGACAAGAGGGGACTGATTGCTGCTGCTGCGCACCGACACACGCACGCGCACACACACACACACACACACACACGCACACACACACACCTCCTCCCCCCTCCCCCGCGCCGTTTCCACCCTCATCTTCCGCAAATTCACAGCCACAATCCCTTAAAAACAGATTTCGGAGCGCGTTTTGATTCGGCCTTTGGGTGCATTAAAGCCTATAATATAGAAAGTAAAACACGGGAGCGACCGAAATCATCACCCCCGCGTGCGCATTTTCACTGTAAACCTTGGGTTTGTATTGACTATTTGTGCAGCATCTTTACCTCGACCCCCTTAAACATGAATATACTATAAAACAGGACTTTTACGCACCGTTTTTTTACGCACCGTCTTTTTACGCACCGATTTTACGCACTGTGTAATTCAGTGTTATTCTAACTCCAAAAAAGGAAACATTTCACCTGAAAAGGTGCATCTAAACGTGGTTTCCACATTTTCCAGCATCACTAGAGGAACCTGAAGGTTCTTCTGCTATTTTAAGGAAGGAAGGGGTCATCATATGAAGGGTTTTGGGGGCTTTTACTCCAAATTTCAGATGATCCAATAAAACCAACTTAAACCTTCTCAGGTTGGTTTTATTTTCTATTTGAACATATTTCCCTGCATACGGAGGTGGATCCACACTTTTTACTCAGTAAAGTGTATCTGACAGAGGAGCTGTGAGGCTTTAGATCTGGATCTGTCTCATTTGCTCTCTTCTCCGTCTGATTGTTCCACATCTCAGGCTCACAAAGAAGCACCAACCTGGCCTCGGTCTTTTCCCTTTTTCTCTCTCTTTCTCTCTCTTTCTCTCTCTTTCTCTCTCTCCTTCCTTACTCTCTGTTGATAAAATCTAAAGTCATTCGTTGTAAAACCTCAAATCCAGATTCGGTGCAATAATACCTCTGTTGTGCTCCTAATCCCGGCTCCGGATCCTGGAGCGTGTTTGGTGTCACATGACGCAGCTCGCGAGGCCCCAAAAAACTATTTTTTAAAAATCGGAAAACTGTTTATTTCCTCCATCATGCACCGACCATCTAACCCCATCCTACCC